TAAATGGGACAAGCCAATCGCAGAAGGACAAATGCTCCATGATTATACTTAAATGAAGTATCTAAATAGGTTTAGCTCACAGAAGCAGAGAGTATTGTGGTGGTTGCCAGGGGCTGGAGGGAAGGGGAATGGGGAGCTGTTGGTCAGAAGATATAAAGATTCAGATTATGCAAGATGGATCAGTTGTGAGATCCGCTGTATCGCACAGAGCTTATAGTTACCAGTACTGTATTGTGCACTTAATAAATTTGTTAAGGGGGTAGACCTCATGTTAAGTTTTCTTACTACAATAACAACAAACAAAACAAAACAAAAACCAATAAAAAGCATAGAGGCACCGGGAAACTTTGAGAGGTGGTGGGCGTGTTTATAACCAGGATTGTGGTCACGATTTTACAGGTGCAATGTGTAAGTTCAAGCTCATCAAATTGCATACATTAAATATGTGCCATTTTTTGTACAGAAATTGTACCTTAAGAGATCTGTCTAAAAAAAAAAAAGGAAAGAAAAGGAAAGATCACATCTATGAACCTCATCATCGCTCGTAAAATGGAAAGGGATCATTACTATAGACCTCAGTGGCTCTACATGAGGCTCAAAGGATGTATTACAGGTAAAGCGTTTAGCACCGTAATTAATTGACACTAATGCTCACACTAACACGGTTCGCTCAGTTAACTGGACGACTTCCTGGGAATCATAAAAATCTCAGATGACCTTTCAAGTAATTCCTTTAGCCTTTTAGTTTAACCGCAGGCATTTGAGGAATCATTACTGCCATCTGGTGGCCACAACCTGCATTTCTGCCTCTGAGGATTCCCACAGAAAGATGGTCTCAGCAGTCAAGAACACACTCCTTCGTCCTCTCTTGCTGTGTTGAGGTTTCAGGGCAGGTTTTGTTTTGGTTTGCTCAGCACTGGAGGGGAGGTTGTTTAAAAGTAGCATTCCAGGAACCTCTGCAAAGAGAGGATGGGCTACATGGGTTATTTTGTAACAAAACCTAATTGCACACTGATACAAGCCCATTTCCTACAGTCATACTAAACACAAATTGCTCCTCCAACCACAGAATAGCCAGGACTCTGCATGATGTCAGGCAGCTCCGGACGCTGAGAGTGTGTGAAAAGCAAGAGAAAAAGCCCCACACGTGAAACTTGACAAGCGGAGGCGCTGCCCGAAGCAAAAGCATATGTAAGACATATTCTGCCGTAGAATGCTAGATCAGGAGGGGTTTTGCACTGTGAATTGGGAGGGGCATTTGGAAAAGCCTTCATCCATTTATTCAAGTATTTGTACTGGGCACTGTACTGGCGCTGCCCTTATGTGGTGATGGAGGAAGGCGGGAGACATGGCCAAGGAGATGGGTGGATCTTTTCCTCTCAAAATAGAGATGTGGAGATCAAGTGCCCCGTGAACCAGGTGAAAACCTGGAAAAAAAATCCCTATGTAGACTGCTTTTCCTGGTTCTGGCTCCTGTCATGAAATCCTGGAATTGCCTAGGGACCACCCCACTAAGCAGGGAGAAGTGAGGTCATGTCTCAGTTCCAGCCCCCAACACAGTGAGTGTGTTCACTCTGTTTTGTTAAATAAATGAATGAATGGAAAACATCTCCCTTCAACTTACTTGGGGTTCTTCCATATTCTTCTTCCTTTAACTCCAACTTGGGCCACTCCAGAACTAATCCCCAGCAGGAATAGTACAACTCCCTGATACCTGCCCAGGAGGGCCTTGGTCCCTAATGCGGAGAGCAGGGTCAGGACATGGGCAGGCGGTGTGGAGACAGGGAGCAGGTCTTGCCTTCCCCTGTGCTTAGGGCATGTCCATTGCCTTGTCTGAACTTCAGCAGCCCCCTCTGAAAAATGGGAAGTGAGCACAATCTCTCAAGACAGCCTAGCTCTAACACAGAACAGGTCTGAGGTTCCTGTTCTGTGCACACACCTCAATGTCACTCACCTTCCTGTCAGAACTTCCTCTTGGTCCCACAGCTCATGATTCCTTGAAAGAGAAAATCTCAGCAAAGGGCTTGGCTCATCCCTTCCCAGAGCTGCAGCCAACCCTGCTGTCCAGGGGTGAGCAGATAGGAGACGGGGGCTGAGGCACAGACTCTCACCCCCAGGGTCCCAGACTGAGCATCCGGATTTCAAGCGGGAAGCGAACAAACAAGTTTGTGATGACATGAGAGCTGTGCATCCCCACACCTGCACCATCTCCTACCCTCGGAATGGCTGGAACAAATCCACACCTGCTTGTGGCTGCTGGTTCCAGAACAGGGACAAGCCTGGTAAGGATGCTCCAGTGGCCAGGACCCACCTAGACCACGTACTGCAGGTTGTGACTCGGGGATGTTTCCACCTCCTCGGAGACCCTGGGAAATATAACTGTGCTTTGAGCATCATGACACCAGGAGGATGGAGGCTGGGACATATTTCCTTCGAATGGAAAGCGGAAATGCAGAATATAATTATTTATATGACTTGCTTTCTTTGCATGTGAGGGATATGAAACTGCCTACAGAGAGGACAAGAATGAAACATGGGGGGCCCCATGGAACCTGAATGTTGTAGACTGAATTATGCCCCCCAAATTCATATGCTGGAGCCTCAGCCCCCAATGTGATTGTATTTTCAGAGATAGCTAAAATTAAATCAGATCATAAAGGTGGAATCCTGGGGCGCCTGGGGGGCTCAGTCGTTAAGCGACTGCCTTCAGCTCAGGTCATGATCCCAGGGTCCTGGGATCGAGTCCCGCATCGGGCTCTCTGCTCAGTGGGGAGCCTGCTTCTCCCTCGCAGTCTCCCTCTGTGCTCTCTCTCTCAAATAAATAAATAAAATCTTAAAAAAAAAAAGGTGGAATCCTAAGATGGGTGGGCTTATAAGAAGGGGAAGAGAGTGATCCCTCTCCCTCCTACCCTTGCCTCCTCCCTCTCCAGGTATGGCACAGAGGAAGGGCCATGTGAGAGCACAGGGCATAGTGAGGTGGCTTTACCAAGGGGTGAAGAGAAGGCCCTTGAAAGGTCCCAGAGGGCCACACCCTGAGCTGCTCCCAGCCCTCGCTGTCCAGGGTGCTGGAGCTGTCTTGGGTAGGGGCTGGAGACAGAGGGGGAATCCCCCTGCAGCTCGTGGCACCTGCGGGGCGCCCAGGTCTCCCTGCTTCTCTGTGCAGAGTGAGTTTCAGGAAGCTGGTCTCTGGGATGCTCCCCCCAGCAGGTATGAGAGAGGATGGTAGAAGGGACAGGAGCAACCTCAGGCTCAACTTTATTCTCAGGTTCAGCTTCAGGCCTTCCCAGTGACACAGACCCACTCTGTCTTCTGTGTTGTTGCCAGGACAGAGATATGTTGGTGCCTGGGCTCGGGATCCTGGATCCTAGAGGTGACGGGGCCTCAAGGGACGGGCCTGAGGCCTATCCAGCATGTGGCTGGGGCACAGAGGTCCTGGGGATGAGAGACATGGGAAAAGACGATATTAGAAGGATGGGGGAGTGACAGCATCTGAAGATCCCCTCTTCAGTTCCGTCTCCCTGAGCCATCCATGGGGAGCATTTGAACACTCCCTGTACCTCGTCCCACGAGAGCCCAACCAGGCAGGACTGGGGGCTCTTTGGGGTCAGAGTCTGCCTGTTCACCTCCCAGCCCCAGCACAGCACCAAGCTCACAGGTGGTGTCCAGTGAATGTGGTCAAATGGACAAGTCTGTCTCCCCATGAGAAGTCAGAGAGCTGATGGCAAGGAGCGGGGCAGCATCTGCAAGGCAGTTAGGCATCTGCATTGCCTGTGGGTAACACCTCTGGGGGGTGCAGGCATGGCCTCCAGCAGGGCAGGAGGCAAGACCTGGAGGCCCCTGGGGGCATGGTGAAGTGCCGCCTGTTGTGTGAGCAGGGGGACCACAGCAGAAAGGTGCAAAGAGCTCTTCCCACTGCTCAGCCCGAGTTTGCCTCTGCATTGACCTTGGGCCCATGGCAGGGTCCTATAGCTAGGAATCTTCCTTCCTGTCCTCTGAGAGTGCAGGCCATGTCCACTCTGCTCACTGTGTCCCAAAGCACCCAACAGAGCCTCCAGCCCCATGGCCCCAGCCTGTTTCCTCCCTCATGGTCTCTACCAGGCCTCTCAAGGGCATGAAATGGGTCCGGTGTATCTCCTCTTTGCCTCCAGCCTTAACACAGAGCTGACATCCACTCTGTACCCAAGACCCTTACTCATCTTTCACAGGCTGGACACCCACACAGAACCTCCAAGATCCCATAACTGGAAGAACTGACTGCCTCTCAGCTCTAGACTGGGTTCTCTCAACCTCAGCACTGTTGAACCTTGGAGCTGCATGATTTTTTGCAGTATGAGCCATCCTGTGCATCGGAGGATGTTTAGAAGCATCCCTAGTCTCAACCCACTAGATGCCAGACACACCCTCCTCCCAAGCCATGATGATCAAACGTGTCCAGACACTGACAAATTTCCCCTTTGGGGGGAGGGAGGCAAACACCCCTGTTCAAGAACCATAGGTCGAGACACCACAGCAGCTAACTCGGCCTAGGCCAGGAAGTGCCCACTTTCCCAGAGCAAATGGACAGCACCAGTGACACCACAGCCTGGACAGCAGGGCTCCAGCACACACCACCTATGCCCCTCTCATGCTACGGAGTTCTCAGACACCTCTGCTCCGCCCCTCCCCATCAGGACAGGCTTCTAGCAAATTGGAGGCCTAATGGGCAAGACATATGCACACGGTCCAGGCTCAGGTGCTGGAAGGAAGCTCAGAGATGGGGGACAGGACACGCGGTCTGCTCCTGGTCTCTCCTCCCTGGGTGGGTCTCCCTGGTCTGTGGCCAGGGGCTGTGGTTGGCTCTGTGTAGAGAGGGCGTGAACTCCACAGCTGCAGTTCCTCTTCTGTGAACCATGAGGCCTTGTGCCCCTCCCCAGCTTCCTGAGGATCCTCCTCAGCCTCCCTCCCATGGCCTTCCTCTTCTCCTTCACCCACAGGAAGCCCACACACGCTCCATCTCACAGATGCTGCCTCCACTGCTGCTGCCTCCGCTGCTGCTGCCCCTGCTGTGGGCAGGTGAGTGCGCCAGGGGTGCGGGGCAGGTGGGCGGGGGCTGCTGCTGACCCTCGATTCCCCACAGGGTCCCTGGCTCAGCATTCAAGATTCTGGCTGCAAGTGCAGGAGACCGTGAAGGTGCAGGAGGGCCTGTGTGTGCATGTGCCCTGCAGCTTCTCCTACCCCAAACGCGAATACACTGACGGTGACCCAGCTTACGGCTACTGGTTCCAGGAAGGGAGTGATTACAGCCAGCATGTTCTAGTGGCCACAAACAACCCAGATCGAGAAGTGCAGGAGGAGACCCAGGGCCGATTCCACCTCCTCGGGGACCCCCAACACTACAACTGCTCCCTGGACATCAGGGATGCACAGAGAAGGGACTCGGGGACATACTTCTTTAGGGTGGAGAGAGGGCCTTATGTGAAATATAATTACATACAGAACCAGCTCTCCGTGCGTGTGACGGGTAAGGAGCAGACTCCAGGTGAAGCCACAGGGGAAGGACAGGGGTCCTGGGCCAGAGCCGGGATGGGACTCTCTTCCCTCCCAGGAAGGGGGCAACCCATGTCAGGACTCAGAGGCAGGAGCTGAACCAAACCCTGAGGCTTCTCTCAGGGCCTCCCCTTGACCCTCCTCCTGATTCCCATGTCTCCCCATCTCCTCACAGCCCTGACCCACACACCTGACATCCTCATCCTGGGGACCCTGGAGTCTGGCCGCCCCGGGAACCTGACCTGCTCTGTGCCCTGGGCCTGTGAGCGGGGCACGCCCCCCATCTTCTCCTGGACGTCAGTGGCCCTCACCTCCCTGGGCCCCAGGACCCACTTCTCCTCGGTGCTCACCCTCACCCCACGGCCCCAGGACCATGGCACCAACCTCACCTGTCAGGTGTACTTCCCTGCAGCTGGTGTGATGGTGGAAAGGACCATCCAACTCAATGTCACCCGTGAGTACGAGGCCAGGATGCCCAGGTCCCTGAAGGGGTGAGGGGAGGGACGGCCAGCCTGGGATGCGTCGTGCTTTAGTCCTGGAGGTCTGGCTGAGTGTGGGACCTAGAAGGACTCAAGCCCTGTCCCTCCCTGTTTCTGTGGTTTCTGGGGGTAGGGGGATGCCTACATGTATCTCACTTCACCCCACCTCAGTGAAGAGGAAAATCCCTTCTTCCCATCCCAGGTGCCACACAGAACCCAACAACTGGTGTCTACCTAAGACACACCACAGGTAGGTGTGTCTCCTCCCGGGGTATAGAGAGTGGGGCTTTTCAAAGCTCAGCCAGAGTCAGGTCCCTGCCTCTTTCTAAACTCACCCAGTTACCAGGACCCCCTGTGTGTGAACTCAGTGTTTCCTCCCCCTCCCAAGCCCCCATGGCCCTGTGAGCAGCTGTCCCCATTGGCCCCCCTCCCCCCACTTCTGCACACACCCCCCACCCATATCAGGAGAAGAGGAGAACAGGGCAACATGTACCCTGCAGACCTGCCCCTTAACATGCATCTCCTGATGACTCCTCCTGGCCCGTCTTTTATTCTCCCTAATAATTGCTTATTTATGTACTTCTGAACAGGTAATATATTCACATAAGCAGACTTTCAAAATGCACAGCAGAATCTGTCTTCAGATACCCAGTCGCCTCCTGGGAAGTGACCCGTGTCCATAGATTGCTCTGAGCCTTAGTGTGTTTGCCTAGGGGATCTGAGGGTCCTCTGATATCAGTAGTACAGACTGCCCTCCATCTTCTCCTAAACTGTGCAGTATTCCTCCCTGTGGATGGCTTATGATTCTGTGTGTGTCTTCTTCTAATGGGAAATCATGACATTCATTTTATTCTACTAACAGAAACACTGCAACACTGCAATCCATAGTCTTCCATCTCATTCTGTATGTGTGTGTGTGTGTGTGTGTGTTTATGTCTGTGGGATACATTCCTAAAACCAAAATAGCTCGAATGCAGGTTCTTTGAAATCTTGAGAGACGGGACCAAATTTTCTCCACAGAGGATGGACAAGTTTATGTTCCCAACAGTCAGGGCTCAAAGTGTATGTTTTCACCAAGCCTGCGTGGGATGAATGTTCTGATCTTTGCCAGTACCGGGTGGCAACTGCTATCTCCATCCAGTATTTTTTATGAAATGCAGTATTATTTCCTTGAGGAAAAATTCACCTAAAATTAACTTTGCCATTTTAACCATTTCAAAGTGCAAAACATGTGGTTCTCAGGACATTCACAGTGCTGTAGGACCATCACCACTACCTGACTCCATCCACCCTGCATTGTCATCACCTGCCTCTTAGGCAGTCACTCCCCATTCCCCCTCCTCCTGACCCCTGCAACCACGAATCTGCCTTCTGTCTCTGTGGATTTGCCTACTGGGGATATGTCAACTAAATGAAATCCTACAGACTATGGTCTTATGCGTCTGGCTTCTTTCATTTTACCAAAACGTTTTCAAGGGCCATCCATAGGGCATGTATGAGTACTAATTCCTTTTTGTCTGGATACTATTCTATTGTATGGATGCACCACATTCTATCCACTGATCGGGTGATGGACATATGGGTGGTTTCTGTTCGGGGCTATGATAATGCTACTGTGAACACTGAAGGACACGTTTTTGTTTGAACGTTCTTTTCAGTATTTGGGATCATGTGTCGAGGAGTGAAAATGCAGGGTCAAAGGCTAGTTTCTTATTTATTTGTTTGTTTGTTTGTTGTTATGTTAATCACCATACATTATTACATCATTAGTTTTTTTTCTGTGTATTCTTTTTTTTAATAATTTTTTTATTGTTATGTTAACCACCATACATTACATCATTAGTTTTTGATGCAGTGTTCCATGATTCATTGTTTGTGCATAACACCCAGTGCTCCACGCAGAATGTGCCCTCTTTAATACCCATCACCAGGCTAACCCATCCCCCCACCCCCCTCCCCTCTAGAACCCTCAGTTTGTTTTTCAGAGTCCATCGTCTCTCATGGTTCGTCTCCCCCTCCGACTTACTCCCCTTCATTCTTCCCCTCCTGTTATCTTCTTCTTCTTCTTTTTTTCTTAACATATATTGCATTATTTGTTTCAGAAGTACAGACCTGTGATTCAACAGTCTTGCACAATTCACAGCGCTCACCATAGCACATACCCTCCCCAATGTCTATCACCCAGCCACCCCATCCCTCCCACCCCCCACCAGTCCAGCAACCCTCAGTTTGTTTCCTGAGATTAAGAATTCTCATATCAGTGAGGTCATGTGATACATGTCTTTCTCTGATTGACTTATTTCACTCAGCATAACACCCTCCAGTTCCATCCACGTCGTTGCAAATGGCAAGATCTTATTCCTTTTGATGGCTGCATAATATTCCATTGTGTATATATACCACATCTTCTTTATCCATTCATCTGTCAATGGACATCTTGGCTCTTTCCACAGTTTGGCTATTGTGGACATTGCTGCTATAAACATTGGGGTGCGCGTACCCCTTCGGATCCCTACATTTGTATCTTTGGGGTAAATACCCAGTAGTGCAATTGCTGGATCGTATGGTAGCTCTATTTTCAACTGTTTGAGGAACCTCCATACTGTTTTCCAGAGCGGTTGCACCAGCTTGCATTCCCACCAACAGTGTAGGAGGGTTCCCCTTTCTCCGCATCCCTGCCAACATCTGTCGTTTCCTGACTTGTTAATTTTAGCCATTCTGACTGGTGTGAGGTGGTATCTCATTGAGGTTTTGATTTGGATTTCCCTGATGCCGAGAGATGTTGAGCACTTTTTCATGTGTCTGTTGGCCATTTGGATGTCTTCTTTGGAAAATGTCTGTTCATGTCTTCTGCCCATTTCTTGATTGGATTATTTGTTCTTTGGGTGTTGAGTTTGATAAGTTCTTTACAGATTTTGGATACTAGCCCTTTATCTGATATGTCATTTGCAACTATTTTCTCCCATTCTGTCGGTTGTCTTTTGGTTTTGTGGACTGTTTCTTTTGCTGTGCAAAAGCTTTTTATCTTGATGAAATCCCAATAGTTCATTTTTGCCCTTGCTTCCCTTGCCTTTGGCGATGTTTCTAGGAAGAAGTTGCTGTAGCAGAGGTTGAAGAAGTTGCTGTCTGTGTTCTCCTTTAGGATTTTGACGGACTCCTGTCTCACGTTTAGGTCTTTCAACCATTTGGAGTCTATTTTTGTGTGTGGTGTAAGGAAATGGTCCAGTTTCATTCTTCTGCATGTGGCTGTCCAATTGTCCCAACACCATTTGTTGAAGAGACTGTCTTTTTTTCCATTGGACATTCTTTCCTGCTTTGTCAAAGATGAGTTGACCATAGAGTTGAGGGTCCATTTCTGGGCTCTCTATTCTGTTCCATTGATCTATGTGTGTGTTTTTGTGCCAGTACCATCAAAGGCTAGTTTCTATGTTTTAACTTTTTGAGGATAATGCCAGACTCTTTCCCACAGCGGCAGCACCATATTATACTCCCACCAGCAGTGTGTGAGGGTTTCCATTTCTACACATTCTTCCCAACATTGTTATTTTCCTTTTCAAAATAATTATAGCCTACCAGTGGGTGTGAGGGAATATCTCTGTGTGGTCTGGTTTGCATTTACATAATGACTAATGTTCATTTTTACATGGACATATTTGTCATTGATATATCTTCTCTGGAGAAACTTTTTAAGTCTTTTGCCCATTTTTAAAGTGGATTGATTGCCTTTTTGTGGTTGAGTTGTAAGTGTTCTTTATATGTACTGGATACTATCCCCTTATCAGATCTGTGACTGGCAAATATTTCTTCCCAATACGTAGGTTGCCTTCTTACATTCTAAATAGCATCAAACAAACAAGAGGATTCATTCTGATGAAGTCCAGCTTAGGCATATTTGTCCGGTCCTACTGCTGGAAGGGCAGTGTATGAGGTGGCATGAGGTCCCAGCACAGGTGGTCCCACACCCAGTGATGCAGGAAGGCTTGAAGAACCAGTGTCCAGAGCCCCGCTGGGAGTCAAGGACACAGGGTTGCATTCAAGCACATGAATCTGTCCTTGTCCAATGTCCCTACAGGAAAATCAGGGCCTGTGGCAGAATTGGTTTCGGTGGCCATTGGGGAAGCTGCTGTCAAGACCCTGTTCCTCCTCCTCTGCCTCATCATCCTCATGTGAGCACTGCCCCAGGGGAAGGGGAGGGGTGGGGAGGGTGGGGCATGTGGCTGAGTCCCAGAACCAGTGCAGGAGGGACTGAACAGGCTGAGGATGGGGCAGGTGGGAAGCCCACCAGGTGTGAGGATTCCACCCTGTGTCCACGATGAGATGTGCCTGCTGAGCTCGAGGTGATCTGTGGGACCAGACCTGCCCTCTCCCCGCTCAGTCAGCCCTCTAACCCCTTAACTGGGAAAACGGGTGAGTCAGTTCACCCTGCACACCCATGATTAGACTGAAAGACCCTGGTCTCTTCTCTCAGAGGGAGGTTCCTCAGGAAGAAGACAGCCAGGCCTGCAGGGGACCTGGCGGAGGCAAACATGGCCCCCAGTTAATCCCTCAGGTGAGTGATGTGGGCAGCTCACCACCCAAGATCCCACCAACACCTCCCCCAGGATGGCCCCAGGATTGCTCCACTCAGCACGGCCAATGTTGAGCCACCTCATTCCTCCCGAACCTACTTCCCTGCTGAGTTTCTCTCACATGGTTGACATGGCTCCCATCTCTAGACCAGAACCACGGTGTAGTTCTCCACTGTGACCTCCTTTCCTTCTGCTTGATCCAGTACATCACTCTGTCTTGTCCTTCCTTCCTCCTAAGCTCATCCTGACCCTACTTGTTCCTGTGGCCTCCTGTCTTCCCTGGGCCTCTAACCTACCAGCCTCCTGCCTCCCCTTCTCTCCTGAACTCACTGAGTCTTGGGAGATCAATATCATCCACTTCCTCCACAGCATGAACAGCTATGATTCCTCTCCAGAGTCAAGACTGAGGTACAAAAAGGCTGGATTTGAAGGCCTGGCATGGTCCATTCCCCGCTAGACCCTCCATGAGATCTCTACCTCTCCCTGCATCTTGCAACATCCACACCCAACTGGGTTAGGGTTTTCCTGATCTGAGACTTTGCATGTGCCTTTCCCTCTCCTGAAGTGCCCTTTCCTCCCCAATCCTGCATCTCCAAGTCCTAATCATCTTCAGGCTCAGTCTTAAAAGCCACCCAGCTCTTTGTGTGTGTGTGTGTGTGAGAGAGAGAGAGAGAGAGAGAGAGAGACATGATTTTGAATCAAGTTGTACTCAGTTATTAACAGACTCTTTCAACAAGTACTATTGAACACCTACTATATGCCACCTAGTTTTGTTTTGGGGTGCATCAGTGAACACAGCAAAATCTCTGTCATCAAGAACCTGTCATGCTGGAGACAAGAAATCAAAAGAAATAAATAAGAAATAATATTAGAGCACTTTGGGTAGAATATGTGTTTGCAGAAAAACCATGCAGACTGAGGAACACGTGACATACTGGGGACCATGTTCTGTAACCAAGAGTTGAGGAGGTGACATTTGAGCAAAGACTTGAAGGCAGGTGACAAAGCAGGTTCTATATTTGCCTGAGAGAAAATTTTCCCAGGAAATGGAAAATGGGGAAAGGCAAGTGAAGTAACTCTGAGACAGGAGGAGGGCTGGTGTGGAAACCAGAGGCTGAGGTTGAGAGCACAAGAATGCAAGGTGGGGATGCTGGGATGATGGTGCTGATCTGGTGGGGGTGCGGACCCTGTGGGATGGGGGTGCAGACCCCGGAGACCTTGAGGAAGTGGAGACCTCATGGGATGGAGACCCAGTGGTAGGAGTGCAGATACCATAGGGATGCAGACATTTTCCCGGTGCAGACCATGTGAGCCTTGCAGAAAATGCAAGAAATCTGGAAGCCTTTGAGGAGAGCAGAGAGATGATTGAACTTTCCCTTCAATAGGATCCCCATGGCTGATCTGCTCAGGACCAGCCAGAGTGGGTCCATGACAGCAAGACAGAGATGGGGAAGTGCACTGCTGGCTACTTCAGGTGGGACATGATGCTGGATCCAACCAGAGAAAGTGGGGACTTATTTTTGGATATATTATGAAGATAAACTGAGCAGGATATTCCAATGGATGTGGGGAGTGGGGGAAAGAGAGGAGAAAGAATGATGCTCAGTGTCTTCCCTGAGCATCTGGCAGGATGGAGTCAAGGACTTTAGAGATGCTCATTCTGAGAATGTCAGGGATGGAGCAGGCTGCGACTGCCTGGAATCAGCAGAGGGGTCCAGGCGGGAGATATTAAATCCTGCAGCTCCTGGAAGGGGATAATCGATAGGGAGGAAAGGGACGGACTGCACATAGAAAAATAGAGGCACTTGGAGAGTCGTTTGTCACTGGGGACCCAAGAATGGCAGATTTGACAAAAGAGGCAGGAAAGGGGTGAAGATGTGGTTGGAGCAAGTTCCGGAGATTCAGGGGAGATTGCAGAAGGGGTACAGACAACCTTGTGAGGACTTTGCTGCAAAGAGGAACAGAGCAAGGGTCTGGAGATGTGGGTTGTTCCCTGTCCTTCCCTGCATTCCTCCTGGAAGGGGCATCTCTGATTTCCCGCCCGCGCGTATTAGCTTCCTGGGGCCCTTGTAACAAATGCCACACTCCTAGGGTCTTAAAACAAAAGAAATGTAAGCTCTCACAGGAAGGTCAGAAAGCTGTGTTAGGAAGGGGACACATTGTTTCCCTCTACTGGGAGATCTTCCCGGGACCCTGTAACACAAGACGGGTGAATCAGAGGAAAGTACACAAATGTATTTCATATGAGATCTATGTGGCACAAGAGCCTTCATAAGGAAATGAAGACCCGAATAAACAGTTAAACCTGAGGGGGTTTTGCTAGATTTGGTGAAGAGTGAAGAGCAGGAGTCACACCTGGGAGAACAAAGGGTTTGACTGTGGGTAGTAACTGGAGGGGCTTGATGAGACCTGCTTGACGGATCCTTCTCTGGGTCCACCTGTCATCAGACATGTGATGCTCCATTCCTCTGAGCAGAGGGAGGGAAAAGTCACAAGGTCCTTCCTCCACTTGCCATTTCTCAAAATCCTTCAGCCTGAAAGGGTCACGATGCCAAGGTGACACATCTTGGGGGCCATGTCCTAAACCCCAGAATCCAAAGCAGCTTTGCTGCACAGAAATCAAGAGTGGCTGAGCTCCATGATCTCCAGAGGCTCAAGGAGAGAATCCTTCTCCTGCTTCTTGCTCATGATGGTGGCTGCCAGCATTCCTTAACCTGGGGTGTCACTGCTCCACTCTGGGTCTGTGATCATGTTACTTAATGCTGCTCTGTGTGCAGGAAGTCACCCTCTGCTTCCCCTTTAGAAGGACACTCTGATAGACTTAGGACCCAACCCAGATAATTTAGGATGATCCCCACAATCCAAATCCATAACTTCATCCCATCTGCAAAGACCCTGCTTCCTGTAAGGTAACATCTAGTTTCCAGGGATTAAGACCTGGGTATGTTTGGGGTCATTATTCAGCCCACTGCTCGGCCCAAGGGATTTTTCCATCCCTATATGTCCCCAACTGGCCCCCTGACCTTCTTTACTCTGCTCTTCCATGTCTTGATGCGCTAGTGGGTCACCTCGGGCATGACACACACCTTGGGGAACAGGGACCTGCAGTTCTGTAAAAGCCACTATCAACGGAACTAAAAGAAAAGTGACAGAGATAAAATACCTACAAATATGTATCTGATGAAAGAGTTGTATCTAGAATATATCAAGGGCTTTCAAGACAAAGCAATAAGTAAACAAACAAATAAAACCTAATTATATAAAAAATTGTGTCTCAACAACAAAAAAACAAACAACTGTATTTACAAATTGGCAAAGGATTTGAATAGCTATTTCTCAAAAAGTATCCAAATGACCACTAAGCACATGAAATACTGCTCAACATCTACTATCAGCAAAATGCAGATAACAAACACAATGAGAAACCCCTTCACACTCATTCTGATGGCAATTATGAAAAAAACAAAACGAAACAAAAAGCAGGAAATACCAAGTGTTGGCCTGGATGCAGAGAAAGTGGAACTCCTGTGTTTTGCTCTTGAAATTGTAAAATGGTGCATCTATTGTGGAATTAGTACGGCACTTCCTCAAAAAATTAAACATGGTATTACCATAGGATCCAGTAATTTCACATCTGGGTATACACCCAAAGGATCCAAGGCAGGCACTGGAATAGATATTTCTACATCCTTGTTCGTGGCAGCATTATTCATAAGCGCTAAAAGGTGGAAGCAACCCAAGGGTCTACCAACAGATTAACAGATACACAAAAGGTGGTATGTCCATACAATGGCATATTATGCAGTCTTAAAAAGATGGAAAGTTTGACACATTCTACAGCATGGATTGAGCACATTATTCTAAGTGCAATAAGCCAGTCACAAAAGGAAAAATCCTGGAAGATTCCACTTATATCATGTATCTAGAGTAGGCAAATTCATAATAGAATGATGGTTGTCAAGCTCAGGGGATGGGTGGGGGACAGGGGGGAATCAAGGGTTATTAACTTAATTGGCACACAATATCAGATTGGGATGATGAAAAAAGTTGTGGAGATGGACAGTGGTGATGGTTGCACAACAATGGGAATGGGCTTAATGCCACCGACCTGGACAATGGTTAGAGGGTAAAGGTTTTGTTCTGCATATTTTACTCTAGTAAAAACAGAGCAGCCAAAGATTTAAATCAGCCACTTCAGCAAAGAAGGACAATGGATGGCAAATGAGCACATGAAAACATGCTCACCCTCATTTGTGCCGAGGAAATCCCAGAGTAAAACCAGGATGAGATACCAGTACACACCTCTTGGAAGGGCTGAATAACCCAAACACAAATAAAAGTAAAATCCTGGTAATGTCAAATACTAAAGAGAATGTGGAGCAACCAGAACTCACCACACACTGTTGGTGGAAACACCAAATGGTACAGCCACTTTGGAGGACAGTTTGGCAGTTTTGTCTCAGTTAAACCTACACCGCTTGTGGGACCGAGCAACTCGATGCCTAGATACTTACCCAGTAGAAATAAAAACACATTCCCACAGAAGCCTGCTTGTGAATATTGACAGTTCCTTTATTCATAGCCAGCCCAAACCTAGAAACAACTCCAATGGTCTCCTAGGGATAGTGTATACAACATGAGGGTACAGAGAAACAGTGAAGTACCAGCAGCAAGTACAGGAAAAAATTATTGGCATACATAACCAACAATATGGAGGGCCCTCTAATGCAGTATGCCAAGTGAATGAAGCCAGACTTTGAAGGCTACTTTTGGTATAATTCCTATTCTGTGACATTCAGTAAACAAGAGAACTATAGGGTTGGAGAATAGACCAGCATTTTTGCAGAGGTTATGGTTGGAGGGAGGGTTTGGCCACCAAGGGACAGGAGGAAAAACATTTTGGGGAATGGCACTCACCAGTCTCTTAACCGTGGCTATGGTTACATAATTCTGTACATCCATCAAACTTCACAGAATTGTAGGTAATAACAAGTGAATCTCACTCTGTCTAATTAGAATAAATTAATAATTTAAGAACACATTGAGAAACCACCACCCTTCTGCTAAAATTGTTAAAATTTAAAAGGCTGTCAATATCAAGTGTTAAGAAGACTGTGGAGGTACTGGCATTCTGGAACATTGTGGATAGGAGTGGTAAAGGTTCAATCCATTTTGGAGAGTAGTTTAGCAATTCCTGTTAGTGTGAAATATGCAGTTACTCTTTGACCCAACAATTATACTCTTGTGGAGGGATCTTCTTTCTTCTTTAGCACTTTTTATGTCTATTTTTTAATTGAAGTATGGTTGACACAATCTTATGTTAGTTTCACAATTATACTTCTTGTATATACTCATGAGGATGGAAATACGCCCATAAAAATTTCACTTTCATATAGCCAAAACTTGAAAATTTCAAATGTCTCTCAGTAGGTGAATAAATAAAAGATTATAATATACCCATATCATGGAATAATACTTAGTAATCATATATTATGAACTACAGATTCAACGTGGATCAATTTCAAAAGTAGTATGCTAAGTGAGAGAATCCAGAACACACAAATGAGTACATTTCTAGGAAATTCTCAAATAGGCCAAATTAATTCACCATGACAGAGACGAGATCAATGGTTACCTGGGGCTGGAGGTGGCCGTGATGAGCTGCAAAGAGGTTCCAGAAACACATTTGGGTTGATGGTTATGTTCTATGTCTCCATTGTGGTGGTATACCTTTGTCATAAGTCGTAGAAATGCACACTTCAAGTGGTATCTTATAAAAAGTACAAAGTTCATTGAAGAAACATCATGCGAACTCACAGAACCTTCCAGTCCATGAAAATGGTATAACTGTCTTTACTGTAAAGCCATTGCCTTGGGTTTTCTGTTATGTGCCACAATCCTACATTTTGAATAACCTAGAATAAGGTGTGATTTCACTTACTGCAGACTCAATTCTTCCTTTATCAGATGAGGTGCAAAATAGCTCTACGTTAGTAATGTTGAAGGAACACTTCTTTAGATACTACTGTGTTTGGAAGGTTTTACAACTGTATGATGGCAAATGCAATTATATATTTATATTGTATATATAGGCATCAACAATTTGCCAGGTGCTGCTCCACAGAGTGAGATGGAAAATCACATGGGCAGAACCTGTGATTTTAATTGCAGCTGCATATTCATTCCACTTATGTTTTCTGCAGTGACATGTGTTTTGAGCCACATTTCACCTTGAGAAGCTGATTTTTTACATCACAGGAAATGCTAATTTCTATGACGAGGAACTAAAAAAACTGCTTCAGTCCATGCACTGCTGTATAGACGGCATTCATGGAAAAGATTTTCCACTGGCTCATGAACACTGTTCTCCCTTCTCTTTTACGTGAAGATACTACACAGTTTTCATTTTGGAGATGCCTTTGAAACTTCATGAATCAACATAATAGAAGTAAAAGAAGAAAGGACCCATCCTTGTATATTTAGAAAATATCCAGTAGGCCCACAGACACATTTAAAAAGTCCAGGTGTCTGAAGTTCGTGACACTCACAGGGACAAAGCGAAAGTGCAGTGTGTCTATGGAGGAAGTGGTACCCTTGGTGGGGACCATGTCAAGGGATGGACCAGGCCAGGCCCAGCTGTCTTGTCTCCAGTTCAGCCAACATAGATGTTCACTAAGTATTTGGAGAATGAATGAATCAATGAATCAATGAATCAATGGCTCCTGCCTTCTCTTCACCCAGGATCCCTTCTCTTCTGCCCCAGAGGCTCACACAGACCTAAAGAATCCTCTACCTTGCAGGACAGAACACCTGAGGGTCTAGATGAGGCTGTGACCTTCCAGGTCTAGCCAGGAGTTGACTAGCTCCCTGGTGTAGACGATGCTGCTCAGACAAGCCCCTCAGGTGGGAAGACCTTAGGAGATCCACTGTGTCCCGTGCCTCACATGTCCTCAGAGGTCCTGGTCCAGTCTCCGGTGCCAGAGGGAGGTGCCGAGATGGGGGGCAGGACACGGGGTCTGCTGCTGGTCTCTCCTCCTGGATGGGGCTCCCTGGTCTCTGGCCAAGGGTGTGGCTGCTGTGCATAGACAGAGGGGGAGCCCCGGCACCGCATTTCCTCTTCTGTGAACCATGAGGCCTTATGCCCCTCCCCAGCTTCCTGTAGGTCCTCCTCAGCCTCCCTCCCACAGCCCTCCTCTTCTTCACTCACAGGAAGCCCATACATGCTCCATCTCACAGATGCTGCTGCTGCCGTTTTTTCTGCCCCTGCTGTGGGCAGGTGAGTGCGCCGGGGGTGGGGTGGGCAGGCGGGGGCTGCTGCTGACCCTCGATTCCCCACAGGGTCCCTGGCTCAGCGTTCAAGATTCCGGCTGAAAGTGCCAGCGTCCCTGATGGTGCAGGAGGGCCTGTGTGTGCATGTGCCCTGCAGCTTCTCCTACCCCAAACGCGAATACACTGACGGTGACCCAGCTTACGGCTACTGGTTCCAGGAAGGGAGTGATTACAGCCAGCATGTTCTAGTGGCCACAAACAACCCAGATCGAGAAGTGCAGGAGGAGACCCAGGGCCGATTCCACCTCCTCGGGGACCCCCGACACTACAACTGCTCCCTGGACATCAGGGATGCACAGAGAAGGGACTCGGGGACATACTTCTTTAGGGTGGAGAGAGGGCCTTATGTGAAATATAATTACCTACAGAACCAGCTCTCCGTGCGTGTGACGGGTAAGGAGCAGACTCCAGGTGAAGCCACAGGGGAAGGACAGGGGTCCTGGGCCAGAGCCGGGATGGGACTCTCTTCCCTCCCAGGAAGGGGGTAACCCATGTCAGGACTCAGAGGCAGGAGCTGAACCAAACCCTGAGGCTTCTCTCAGGGCCTCCCCTTGACCCTCCTCCTGATTCCCGTGTCTCCCCATCTCCTCACAGCCCTGACCCACACACCTGACATCCTCAACCCAGGGACCCTGGAGTCTGGCCACCCCGGGAACCTGACCTGCTCTGTGCCCTGGGCCTGTGAGCGGGGCACGCCCCCCACCTTCTCCTGGACGTCAGTGGCCCTCACCTCCCTGGGCCCCAGGACCCACTTCTCCTCGGTGCTCACCCTCACCCCACGGCCCCAGGACCATGGCACCAACCTCACCTGTCAGGTGTACTTCCCTGCAGCTGGTGTGATGGTGGAAAGGACCATCCAACTCAATGTCACCTGTGAGTGTGGGGCCAGGATGCTCAGGTCCCTGAAGGGGTGAGAGGAGGGAAGGCCAGGTTGGGCAGCCTTGGTGTTTTACCAGGAGGTCTGGCTGAGTGTGGGACCTAGAAGGACTCAAGCCCTGTCCCTCCTTGTTTCTGTGGTTTCTGGGGGCAGGGGGATGCCTACATGTATCTCACATCACCCAGCCCCACTGAAGAGGAAAATCCCCTCTTCCCATCCCAGGTGCCACAGAGAACCCAACAACAGGTGTCTGCCTGGGACATAGACCAGGTAGGAAGGAGCCTCCCATCCATGGGTCATTGACTGGCCAGGGTATCTGTCAGGTTGTGTCTGAGTGGGACTTGAGACTCAACGGGTGAGGGTGTGTTGGGGGGCTGTGGTTAGACATGAGAAGCCCCCTCAGCCCTCCTCTCCCATACCCTCTCTCTCTGGTCTTGCCAGGGTGACCTGCAGTTTTCTCCCCATGATCTTGATTATGCTCTTTATCTTCCTCTGGTCTCTGAAGGCCTGAGGCATTTTTAGTAACCTTTATTTTTAGAAGGGGAGTTTTAGGTTCTAGGCAAAATTGAGCTGAAGGTAGAGAGATTTCCCCAAAAGCCCTGCTTTTACATGCATAGCCTCTTCACTATCAACATCCCCCATCAGAGGGTACCTTTGTTACAATAAAACTTACATGGGCATACATTTATCACTAACAGTCCATAGTTGACATTAGGGTTCATTCTTGGTATTGTACCTTCTATGGATTGGACAATTTATAATGACATGTATCCATCTAGTGGTATCATGCAGAGTAGTTTAACTGCCCCAAAATGTCTCTGGGCCTTGACCTCTCTCTGAGCCCAGCCTTACCCCCACTGCTCTATTCCCATTGGTAATGACATCTGGCCCCCATCTGGACAGTGAGCCCCATTAGGACTCTTTCAGTGCCCACCATATAGCTGATAGGTGATGCCCAGAGACACATCCCTCACTCTGGGTGTTGGGCTCCCAGGAGGCATGGCCAGGAAGGACAAGGAGAGCTGAAGGTCTGAGAATATCACTGCTTCCACCTGCTTCTGGAAGCACGAAAGACCACTTTGACCCTGAGTGATAGGGCCAGTGGAGGCCAGGAGAGGAGATTCAGACACCCTCCCTGGAAGGAAGGAGGGACTTTCTGTGTCCCACAGAGCTCTGTGCATACATCTCTCTCTCTCTGGAGTGCCCACGAGGCCCAGAGTCTCTTGGTCCTGCTGCAACCAGGTCTGGAGTCTGTTGCAGAGAGACCGTGTATGGGGAAGAACCTGGGTCCTAGATGAGATGGCATTTGCTGGACAGGGTGCAGGGGCCAGATTGTGTGGATAGAAGGTGTCACACAGACCATGTCCTTCTGGTGGAGGCTGAGGTCCTGCAATGGGTGGGAGACCTTCAGGGCTGAACCCTGGACGGGAGGGGAAGGGTACTGCCCTGCTCATCAAGATTGGAGTTCACCCCAAGTGTCTCTGTCTACAGGGAAACTGGGAATCTGGTCAGGAGTGATGCTAGGTGCCATTGCGGGAGCTGGTATCACCACATTGTTCGCTCTCTGCCTCTGCCTTATCTTCTTTGGGTGAGCTGGGTGGGTATGGGGGAGTGGGGGGAAGTGGAACTTGCAGGGGTTGTGAGGCCCTGGAGCAAGGGCAAAGGGTGCCAGGTATGCATGTGTTCCCAGCCCTGGTCCCAGCAGTCTAGGAGCATGGGGACCTTGTTACAAAGCCTTGATATGGAGGCTCCTGGGCTCGCCCCACCCTCAACCTGCCTCAGAAGAGTGACCCTATGTCAGAGACTCTGGTGTCTCTGTCAGAGTGAAGAGCTGCAGGAAGAGAGCATCCCGGAGAGCAGTGGGCGTGGACGGCATCCACCCGATGGTAAAGCCAGCTCCCTTGGTGAGTGACGTGGGTGTCCTGGCGTCCAGACTCTCTTCCGCATCTCCTGGGGTGGCCCACAGCCATGCTCCATTCAGCATGTCCAGAAATGAGCTCATCACCTTCCTGCTTGTTTGAAAATATAGGTTTTATTATTCAGGTGTCTGAAGCCAACAGATCAGGAGGTGATTGCCATTGAGAAGGCACTCTGTTACTCACAGTTCCCAGAGGGAGAGGCACACCACCCCACACAGGACCACATGGGGCAGGGCTAAGGTGGGTCAGGAGGCAGAGGGGGCAAAGGAAGACATGGGTAGGGCCTTTATTGCAGTTTCCACAGGAAAGGCATGGTGAGACAGTGTAAGCAGATTCAGGATTGGCTAGTTTGAATCATTTCAGCAGGCTCTGGGGTGTCGGGGCATCCCTAGTTGTTTGGTGCCTGGCCCTGAGGCGATTAGGCAGAGGAATAGTGGCCCAGAATGTAAGGAGGGATTGGAGTGTGAGCTTTGGACGGATTGATTTGCATGTGAAAGGCATGCTTGCAAGCAAGTCCACCATCTCTAGAGTTTGGCTAGTTCTGGCCGGGACAGTTCCTCTAAGGTTAGCAAGGCCCCAGATGTCAAAGCCTCAGAAACATGTGGTGAATGCGCTCCTAAGCATATTCTTCCTGCTGGTTGTCCACCTCCCTGATGACACTTGTGTCCCTGACACTCCACCGGAGACCCGACCCTGTCCTGCCCCAGCCTTGCACTTCTTGCACCAATATGCCGCAGAGCACATCTGTTCTTTTCAGTGCAGCATAATGCAACCATTCCCTTTGAGCTGAGCTCCCCTCTTAGTTCTCAGCCTGCTGAAGCTCTCCCACCTCTCCTCCATGAAGATCCTTGTCCCATATGCCCAAGTCTGAAAAGCACTTCTCCTCCACACTGTCGGAAGTCGGGTGCCCAAACAACTTGGTCTGGCGTTTGGGGCAGGAAACCCAGAGTCACCTTCAATGCTGCAATCCCCCTACACCAGCCTGCTCACTCGCCTCAAGCAGAGTGAGCTTTTTGCACCTCAGAATCGTTGCTTGGCGTGAGCTCCTTCTCATGTGTCTATGTCATCCTGCCCTAGTCCTGTTCATTTCCGAGCTCTGACTGGCGTTTATTTATTTAAAACTCTGACTAAGGGGGCACCTGGGTGGCTCAATCAGTTAAACATCCGACTCTTGATCTTGGCTCGGGTCTTGATCTCAGGGTTATGAGTTCAAGCCCCACACTGGGCTCCACGCTGGATGTGGAGCCTACTTAAAAAATCAATCAATCAATCAATCAATCTCTGACTAAGGTGGACACCACTGAGGTTTCTGAGCACATGATCTGCAGTCACCATGCATGCATTTATTCCTTTCTCAAATATCTCCCACTTGTTGATTGTTCTGGGTGCTTGGGTAATATCTGTGTTTTTACAAATGCGTATGTTACAAATATAAAATGTCCCTGAGGTCAAGGACTTATGTTTATTGCTGGATGGGGTGGGGAAGAGGAGATGAAAACAGTGAACAGATAAGTAGCAAAAATATGCAAGAAAATGATAGGAAATGGTGCTTTGGTGGGGAATTAGATGGAAGAATGAGGGATGACAGTCCTGGGGCTGGAGTCTTTGAGAAAACACCCACCAGAGCCAAAGTGAAGGAGTGTAGTGTGAGCCCTGAGAGTATCACTAAGGCTCTATCTAAGCAGGGCTTGGGGGGTTCTGAGGTTGGGGCATGCTTGATGTGTGGGAGAAACAGCAAGTTGGACAGTGTGCCTAAAGCAGAGCTGTGTGGGTGTGGGCAGTGGGTAATGGTGGGTAAGAAATGAAGATGGAGAGGCATGGGGGCTGCAATTCATCATAATTACCTATGTATTTGGAGAAGAGTGACAATGTAAGGGAAACCACACAGAACTACTATTTCTGACACTTTTGGACACTAAATGTGTGTGTGGTTTTCCCCACACCAAATAATTCTGACACCAGCTGGGTGTCCTATAATTCAACTTAATTCTGACACTATCTACCTGGAGCTAGCATCAGATCCCACAGGTGATGGGTTCAGTCCCGCAAGGCTGTCCCACTCCACCTTCAGATGCCAGTCACAAGCCTAGGTCATCACCTGTGCTTCTCACCAACTAACTGACTGTAAATTGGTGGTTCCCACAAGCCCCCTCCTCAGTTTTAATTAATTGGTCACAGCGGCTCACAGAACTCGGGAAGGCAGTTTACTTACTTTGTACTATTACCACCACACCATAAAAGGATGTGATGAAAGATACAGATCACCATCCAGATGGAAGAGATGCATGGAGCTTCCATCCCCTTTCAAGGTGTGCCCATCCTCCCAGCCCCTCCACATGTTCACCAATCCAGAAGTTCCCTAACCACCCCCCCAACCCTGTACTATTGTTATTTTTATGGAGGCCTCCTCACATAGACATGATAGATCATTACCTCCATTTTCAGCTCCTCTTCCCTTCCTGGAGAATGAGGACATGGGCTGAAACTTCCAAGCTTCTAACCACGGCTTGGCCTTTCTGTGACCAGCCCCCATCCAGGAGCCCACCAAGATTTACGTCATTAGAACAAAAGATGCTGCTGTTGTCCAGGAAATTCCA